AGTTCCTGTTCCCCTTTTCTGGAACAAAGGTAATGCATGGTCTTGTGGCACCTGAGCCAGTGGGGAGCACTGGAACACCTTTTTCACCCAGCCTCTGACAGCTGCATTGCTTTTGAAAACATTTGTTTATTACTTGGAATGCAACAGTTTGCCTTCTGAGCAGCCAGCCAGAAAAGGTGGGAGATGCTCCTCCATGATTTGAGCCGTTCTTCCAGCTGGCAGTAAGGTGGAGAATTCTATCTGTGCTCCAGATCTGCTGACCTGTTCCAGGTGAAAAACTGTCCACACATCACTGGGGCCCAAAATTCTGGAGTGAACTGCGCAAAATTGTGTGAAATTACATAAATAGTATAAATAAATAAATAAATAATAATCAACAAATAGTAGCTAAATAAACAATATAAATTATAATAATATTTAAGATAATAATATATTACAGTATAGTATATACTATAATTATATATAATATTATATATATTATATATATTATATCATTAGATATACTAGAATCACATTATATATATTATATAATATTATAATATTATTATATTATACTATAATTATATATGTATATATAATTTCTATATATTTATAACAGTATGATATACTATAATATAATAATATTATTATTAATAAATAATGAATAAATATTAAATAAACAGAAACATATCTCTGAAGGCTTCTGAAAACTGGAGGATTTTTTTTTGGTTGTTTAGGGTTGTTGTTGGTGGTATTTTTTTTGTTTATTTGTTTGGGATTTTTTATTTTTTAAAATATTTTTCTGGGTGGGTAAGTATTTGGGATTTTTTTGCTGGTGTGGGGCTTTTTTTCATTTTGGTTTGGTTTGTTGTTGTTGTTATGATTATTATTAATATTAGTATTAGTATATTTTAGCTGTCTTTTTAAAATAACCCAGTATTTCTTGGGAAAATGTCTCCAGATGGGATGCTGGTGTTTTTTTCATGCATATTTTTAAGTGTTGAAGCTGATTGATGCAAGCTCATGTCACATTTCTTGAAACTAAGAGGGTGAACTCGTGGGAACACGGAATAAGAAAGGTGAAAGGGTTTTCAAATTTGAAACCATGACTGAGAGATGGAATAAGTTCTATTCTTAGCAGAGGTGCTGAGGAAAATAAATAAATAAGTAAATAAAAGGAAAAGGGAGCATCTGCATGAGTATTTGTTCAACATTTGCAACACACTGCTTGAAGTGTAAAGATCATTTTGGCTTGTGCCACTCACAGCTTCAGCAGGAAAACAGCTCTGTTTAAAAAAGCTCTGCTATGATAATTTAACTCTTTGTCTTTAATTCCATCTCAGGGCAGTAATGCTGGTTTTTAACTTCTTATTTGAGTGCAGCTCAGCTGGAGTGGCAGTGCCTTGCTCACTGGCACTGTGACTTCTAAACCTTTTTTGGTATAGAAGTTATAAATCTCTAAAATAGGAATATAGCATCCTACAAATTATTATGGGAGAAAGGGTGTCTTCTGCATTTGAATCTTCTGCCTAGCTTCAGCAAGCCCTCAGATAATTTGCTTGAGTTTATTGGTTGGTTTGTCACTTTTTTTACACTTCCTGCATAAAGAAAATACTTGCAACACCTTTACTTTTGCTCTGATACCCATAAAGCCATATACATACATACATGTATATATGTGTATATAAATATATATATAAATGAAAAACTACAACTAGTGACAGCACAGAAAATAAAAAAACAGAGAGCTAAATACTGCCATACATTCATCATGCCAAATTCAGCCACTTTTCTCAGAATTTTTTGGCGTCTGGAATAAATATCGCTACTCTGTCTTCCCCAGTTTAATACTGCATGTCTTCATAAATACCAGCTAAACACATCTTCCTGGTTTTGTTCTTTATTTTCTCTTTTACTGGGGCTTTTTTGACAGATTTCCACTTGTTTCAGGTGAAAAACTTTTTATATGATACATACATATGGGTAAATACTGACATTGGGGGTTTGTGGCTGTTAAAATTTACAATTCTCTAAAGCCAGCTTTAGCTTAGGATTTGCTTAGGATCTCTGTGCTTCTAGGGACAACTAATTTCCATTATTTACCATGGGGTTCAGTATTAAAGCACGCATCATTTAATTCTATAATTGCATCACTTTTCAGGCACGTGCACTGATTTTGTGTGAAAATGGTTCTTCTGAAATCAGAAAATTGTGTTGTTGCTTTCAGCTTCCTTTTAAAAAAAGTAGAAAGGGATTACCTGTACCTTCCTTATTAAAAAAAAAAAAAAATAGAAAGGGATTACCTGTCTCTGCTTTGCCAAGGTGGGATTTCAATGCAGTGCTGTAGGCAGAAATTTGAATTAACATTCCTGAGATACAGCCAGTTAATTTCCTGTGTGCTTTAAAGCTTTGCATTTAGTTGCATCTTGATGCTTCAGCAAGCCCTCCAACTCATCAAGTGACTGAGGGATGGGTTTGTAAAGGCCTGGATGGTCATTATATATGAAATTATAAACCCACTGTTGTACTTAATGGGGTCAGTGAAGCAATCAGGATAAAAATACATAATTCTGCAGCGTGGGTCTGTAAGCATGATACTTCTTAGGCTTGTTAAGTTTAATGAAGCAGCTACTCAGCAGCTGGACGTTCTTGTTAAACAGTCCCAGCATGGATTTTAGAACTAAAACTGAACACCATGGTCTCCTTGGAGAGTCTGAGGCTCTTATTCTCTTGAAACGTCTGCATCTTTTATATGTTAATGGTTTTGACATCAGCCATTTGCTTCATTTTCATTGTAAATGAGGCCCAGAGTCCGATTCCCTTCCCCATTCCCCGAACACTCTCTGCCCTGTAAGCTGGCTCATCAGCCTCCAGCTTGCTCCCCGGGGTGTGTGTGCTCTGAAAACAGCTGAAGAGATCCTGCAAAACAAACCAATTTTCCTATTTTTAGATGCCTTTCTAAGAATATGAGTCCCTGTGTGAAAACTTGTGTGGTGTGCGCGGTCCAGCATCCACACCGGTCCTCACATCCCGCAAAACCTTACTGCCAAGGCCACCCCTTCAGGGGGGTGTCACCAATTCCCTTGCCCAGGATTTTCTCCTGGGAAGCTGGGAAGCTTCACCTTCTCCCTGTTTTGCTGCTTTGGAATGTGATTTGGAGAATTCTTTACCCCAGCATGTGGATTGTTTTTACTTAATGGCCAATCCCAGTCCAGCTGTGTCACTCTCTGGTCAGTCACAGGTTTTTTATTATTCATTCTTTTCTAGCTTTCTAATGATCCTTTCTCTCTATAGTTTAGTATAGTTTTAGCATAGAATTTTTAATATAATATAATATCATAATATAATAAATCAGCCTTCTGAGAAATATGGAGTCAGATTCATCTCTTCCCTCTTCCTGGGACCCCCACAAACACAACAGCAAGGGGGCTTACAAAGATTGGTGCTGCTCTTCCTCAAATCCAACAGACTCAAATCACAGGGTTTCACCTAAACCCTTGGTGAAATACCCCTGTTTAGAGAGTTTTATTCATGTTTGACTTTTAAAGATTCTTCTCAGCTGCACTGCTGACACCATAAAGCTGTGGTGTATGCGCAGAACACTTTTTTTGAGGGGGAAACTCCCGATTTTAGCATGGGGATATCATCATTGCACCCTGCAAGGTTTACACAGGACTGCAGCCAAGTGTCCCGAGGCGTGCCAGGGAATCTTTCCCCTCTTTTGCAGAGGGATTAACCCACCTTGTGTGTGGTTTTTGGTGCCTGACCCAAAGGGGAAGAGGGCAGGGACAAAGCCTGGTGGAGCCCTCCAGGACCAGCACACCCAGCCAGGAGCATCCATCCCACCAAGGCATCAGGAATTTACACTCTCAGGCTCCTTCTGGTTGGAATCTGAAATGCAAGGAATGCTCAGAACTGTGAGCCTCTAAGGCAAAGCTTAGAATTAAACACAGGATTTGATCTGAGACCTTGGAAAAGGCTTCCAAACTTTGGTGCTGGAAGTGAGAATGTGGATTTATAGCTTAAAGCAGAGACATGTTAAGCTAAGTAAAGGAAAGTTCAGAGTTTTAGAGTCTAAGATATAAAAATTAAAGTAGTTACAGAGGTAAACAAGGAGTTTAGAATGCAGCACTGTAGGTTTGTGTGCCATAACATGGTTGGCTAAGAAAGCTTACACTGTAGCATAGGTCCATAAGATGAAATATTTAAGGATTGGGTCAAAAACATAAATATCCTTGTTGGCAGTGTTTTATTGGTCAATAACTCCTTAAAAGATCTCATACATAGGGGTCTTCTAAACCTTGTGAGCTGTGGGATGAAGATGTGAGCCAAACTCACCCTTCCTACCTATGCAGAAGATGAGAAAAATAAACCGCATCATCAAAAACAACTCAGAAGTCCCATCTCAAATTCCTTACAAAATTCCCCACAAGTGAATTATCACACTTGTTCCCAGCACAACCCTTCCTTCCCAATTTCACTTCGCATGTGTGGAAGCACTGTGCAGAACACACTCACAGGGATGTGAGGGAGAGCAGAGCAGAACAGGCAGGCTGTGATTTCTGCCTCACCTTGTGGCATAAATTACTGCTGTGCAGAGAGCAGAGCAGAGCAGAATAGGCAGCCTGTGATTTCTGCCTCACCTTGTGGCATAAATTACTGCTGTGCAGGCTGTGATTAGGCAGGTTTGTGTGACTAAAGCCCTGTACAGGATTAACTGCCAGGTCTGTGCTCTGCTGTGGGTTGGTGATAGAAGACACTAAGCAGCGTTGAAGCGTTTTCAAAGGGGATTTGAAGCCAATCAACCATTTTCTCCTCCAGTACATAACTTTTCCGCCTTGGCGGACAGTGGCAACATTTATATTTGAAAGTGCACAGGGTGAAGAGTGTATATACCTTTGAAACTTTTGGAGGGGGAGTGACAAAAGGCTCAGCCTCTCTGTTTATCCCTCATGACCTCAGCAGAGAGAAGAAAGCAAAGTTGCTGCCTTGCTGCTTGTGGGACGTGCAGACTAGTTTTTTCTGTCACACCCAATACTGCAAACCCCCTTTCCCCGCTGAGCGGGCTCCAGAAACCTGGGGTGGGCAGTCAGGGACGCTCCTTCTCACGCCTGCTGTTGGTCAGACAGGGAGGGATGTGCCCCACAGCACCTCCCTGTCCCCGTTCCTGCCTAGATGGGGACCCGCTGCCCGGCACCATGAGGACCAACCACTGCAGCCACCTGCCTGGAGTGCCTCCGGAGCGCCCACACCCTCCAGCTCCCGATGGAAAGAGCCTGCCTGGCAGCAGCGGGGGCCTGGCCACCAGCTGTCCCCAGTATGTCATGCAGGTGTCCTCCAAGGATGGGCAGCTGCTCTCGTCCGTGGTGCGGACCCTGGCCGTGCAGAGGTACGTGGGGGGCAGAGGGAGGGATGGGCTCCGTCCCCTCTGGTGGGGTCAAACATCCATGCCAGCATCACAAGGGTCGTGCTGCAGAATGCATCGTGCTTCCCAAACACTTCCCCAGCCCCTGGCGTGCTGAGCAGCCAGACAAGCTGTTTCTTGTAGCCGTGATATTTTATGAAAAAATCCTTTTGCTAGGATTTTTCTCCTATTCTAGCTGAGAAGCCTCAGAAAAGAAATGTAAATAATTAACTGTCTGATGGCTGTGGAATGTGGTCTGGACATTGCTTACCAACAGGTGCATCTGGGATTGGTCCATGTTGGTTGTTTCTAATTAATGGCCAATCACAGTCAGCTGGCTCAGACTCTCTCTGTTATTCATTCCATTCCTGTTCTTTCTAGCCTTCTGATGAATCCTTTTCTCTCTATTCTTTTAGTATAGTTTTAGTGTATCATTTAATATAATATCTATCATAATACAATAAATCAGCCTTCTGAAACATGGAGAAAAGATTCACATCTCCTCACATGGGGCATCAACCATAGTTTCTAGCACCACTGCTGCAGCTTCTGTCATCATCCGAATGACTGACCTTCCTTTCTGCTGCTGGTTTAGAGAGGCAGATTAGTGGTGAAATATATTGTTAACCTATGCCTTTGAATCGTGCTTCAGGCTGGATTTGTTCTCATTAGGAGCAAGAAAGAGTATTCTGATGTGCTTGGCCTCATCCAGACTTGATGCTTGGGTCAAAATTAAGTTTGTCTTTGCTGGCGGTGGGCTGGAAAGGCTTCATGGATCTCAAAGCAGTGCAGAAGAAATACCCACCCGCAGCCCCACAGCAGAGATGTGTTTGTATCCCTCCTTGACCTGCCTGTGGGCTGTCCCAAAGAGAGGGAAACCCTTTCCAGGGAGATGAGGCTTCTGCCTTCATGTGCTTTTCTGAAGTTGTGCCCCTGCCTTCACGGTGCTACAGGGCAAGGTGCTGCTCTTTCAGCAGTCCTTTTGCTGTTGGCCAGTGAAAACAACATTTAGGTCAGAGGATACCAAGAAATGCCCAGTTGAGGCAGATTTACAACGTCCTTGATGCATTTTGGGATTTCCTGAGGCGGCTGCACCGCTGCTTTGTGAAGAGCTGGGAAATACAAAATACAGCAGGACCTGGTCTTCTGCCTCTCATCTACCACTCTGATGTTTTTCACTCTGCGCTTTTTCCCCCCTCTAACAAAAGAGGTATTTTAAGCAAGAATACCAAAACACCTTAAACCATTAACCCACCAGCCTGGATCACTAATCAGAGGGCAAAGCACTGCAAACATTCCTAGCTCGCAGCAGAAAAAAAAATCTATCACCACACCCCTGCAGCGCTGACCAGCAGTTTTCTCTCCCTCTCCTGCAGCAGCCCCTTCAATGACCGGCCCATCTGCAGGATCTGCCACGAGGGCAGCAGCCACGAGGAGCTGCTGTCCCCCTGTGAGTGCACGGGGACCTTGGGGACCATTCACCGCAGCTGCCTGGAGCGCTGGCTGTCATCCTCCAACACCAGCTACTGTGAGCTCTGCCACTTCAGGTTTGCAGTGGAGCGCAAGCCCAGGCCACTGGTGGAGGTCAGTGCAGCCCTGAAACCTCAGTTTTGGCCTGGAAAAATCCTGCCTGCTTCCACGCAGGCGTCACAAAGGCTCTGTGGTCCCAGTGGGGTCGGGCAGTGTGAGGGTGGGAGCTCAGGGGAAGGGTGCGATGGGATGGAGCCCCTCGTTTTGGAGGAGATCTGAACCAAATTATTAGGGTTTGTTAGGGTTTTATTAGGATTATTATTATTATCAGTGGGTTTGCTTCACTGCAGACCTGAGTGGAGGTTTTTTGGCAGCAAGTTCCCGGGATGCCAGCCAGCTTGGCTGAGGGTGGAAGAGAGGTAAGTTGCAGTTTCGGTGGAACGTGGGGCAAGTCTCTGGACTCAGAATATTAAATTTAGGTCAGACATTTTATTTATTTCTTCTTCCTTTTGAGAGGTAACAATCTTAGGAGCCTTGGAAACCCTGTCTAGCCCACAAGAAGGAATGGTTCTTGTGGAGTGTCTGGTGTGTGTAGACATTTGTGAGTCACCTTTTGGCCTATTCTTGCCTATGTGCCAGACTCAAAAGTGAATTGGACAATTGTTTCTCCCTTATCAATGAAAATTCTGTTTTTGCCAGCTATAGATAGCAGCTTCATTAAGTTTTCCAGGTTTTAGGGTATTTTTGGTCCCCAGGAAAAGAAAAGAAACCAAAACAAGGTCAATGTCTTGACACTGCTAATGGCCTTTTTCCTCCCTTATTTTATTTGGTGAGGCAAAGGTAGAGGTGAGGCAAAGTTAGGGTTTCTTTTGGAATTAAAAGTGAAGTACAAGCAACATTTTGGCAAAATGAATGAGAAGAAGCATTTTGTACCTGTTGGTGACACAGGCACCTACATGCAGAGCTTGGGCTCAGGACAAAATGTCTTTCCTGTGCATCTTAATTTTCCTTTAAATTGTGTCCAAACTGGTGGAAGGAGGTACAGCATTAAAAATGGGCAAAGGGAAGCAGCATTTTGTTTTTCTCCTGCTCACAGAGGAGAGGACACAGGACAGAACTGACTGGGAGGTGGCTCAGGGGGTGAGCAGTTCAACACTACCAAAATCACTTTAGTTGGGATAGGCATGCACATTTTGTGTCTGAGCCTAAGGATATCTTCATTCTTCCTCAGGATCCCCCCAGAAAAGGGACAGAGCAAGGCATTTAGCACAAGTCCTGCACCCAGAGCAGGTCCTGGCCAGCTTGGGTTGCTGCCTCTGGGTTTTCCTCTCAATCTTTGCTGCAAGAACTCTGAATCCGCCCTCTGAGAAGAAACACAAGTGATGCTCAGGCTTCACAGTTTGATTTTGGAGCCCAGCTTCTGGAAGTTGTTCCCTTTGTGATGGCTCCTGGTCAGGCTTGTACTGCACAAATCGGATGTGGTGCTGGCCAGAGCTGCTGATGGTGGAAGGAGTGGAAAGCAAAGCTGACCCTGCCCAGGATGGGGCACTGTGGTGGCTTGATTGAAATGAGGCTTCTTTTTGGCAAAAGCAGGAATAAGTTGTAGAAACATCAACAATGATGTTTAGAGTAATAATGGTAAACCTGCCAGTTGTTTCTGTTGGCTGAGGATGAATGAAAACCCTGAGCAAGGATATTTTTGAAACGTAGCTAAGTGTTTTTTATCTTTACCACTCATTATTTCCTGACTTCTCAGCTGCTTACACCCACAGTATTTTAGTGCAGAAATCAACAGTTGGGTGCTGTTGCAGGAAAGGTCATAAAAACCCCCAATCCTTTGTGATCTTGTAAAGGGAATATGTTTTCAGTTTAGAAGGAAAATGAAGATGCACTTCCAAAGCTGAGAGCAGCAGAGACAAAGAGTAACTAAAATGAGCTGTATGCCAGGAGGCAAATTAAACAGAAAGACAATCAAACTTCTTGATTTCTGTCAGTGTAATTTAAATTTGTCCTGGACATTTCCACTTATTTAAGTGTTTATTCCACACTGTTTTGAAATGCAAAGACCTCCCCAAGCAAATAATTGCAGCAAAACTCCGAAACTTCCCAAAGCAGGACTAAAGCAGATGCAAGTTGCCAGATTCCCTCAACTTCTGTGCCCCAAAAGCAGCTTCATGCCTGTCTCTGTGTTCCCTAGAGTGTGAGGATGTGGCAGGAGGTTTACCAGGTGTAGTAGGGCCATTTCTCACAAAAACCCTGCTGTAACACTGGGATGAGTGACAAGCCAAAGTGGCCACCTGCTTTTAGCACCACAGAGTGTGTAGGTTTCGGGGTGGGGTATCAAAGTTCTCTTCGTTTAGTAGAGAGGTGATTAGTTCTCCTAAGATTGCCCTGACCTGGATAATGGAAAGGGTGAATGGTCCTCCTCTCACTGGAGGTGAGTGATGGGTTTTGCCAATGCATTTTAGTAGGTCAAGAGGGGCTGTTGTACTCATGAAGTGATTTATAGAGCCCAGACTCTAAAAACCTGTCAAGGAACTCCTCAGCAGGCCCTGTATTATACTCTTTTTCAAAGGGCCAGAAAAAACCCCACACCAAAACAAACAAACAAACAAACAAACAAAAAAACAACAAAAAACCCAAACAAAACAAAACAAAAAACCAAAACAAAACAAAAAAATAAAAACAAAAAAAAAACCCCAAACAAAACAAAACAACAACAACAACAAAAAACCACACAAAAAAACCCCCAAAAAAACCCAAAAAACCCAAAAAAAGACAAAACCACACCAAAAAACCCAAAACAACAGCAACAAGGAAAAGAAACAAAATCAGCAAAACCACAAAACCAAATCAAAACAAAACAAAACAGACACCAACAACCCCACCAAAAAAAAGCCCCCCAAAAAAACAAAACAGCCCCAACAAAACAAAAAATAACCATGCCATTTATGTTTTCTCCTCATCCCTTCCCTAGACTGGTCACTGTTTACTGATGGCTTAGGCATGGGTGTAGAAGAAATCTGTTTCAGTGGGAACAAATTGAGGCACTTTACTCGCTTTATCTAGGAATGTCATATGTGGATTTATTCCTGCTGTTAGCAGCAGCAGTCAGAATTAAATGGAGCAACTGGTGTGGCTGGTGGCTCTGCCAAATTCCTTCCTCCCTCTGTCCATCCTTATGGAATCAGCAGAGGAGTTGACCAGACACAGCTCTGTGCTTCTGCTTTGCCTCTGCCACAGGATGTGTATTTTTGTCTGAGGAGGAATCTTCTCCCTGGAAATGCACAATTGTGCTTGACTCTTTGATGCCCAAAACCCCAGCAGAGCAGCAGGCAGTGGTGGTGCAGTCTGTCAGGCAGATCCAGCCCCTCAAAAATGAATTTGTGATGCTTCTTGGTCCATTTATTTTTTTTTTTGAACTCATATTATTCTCCCCAAAAAATTGTGTTTCCACACTGGGAATGTGAATCAGGCACTGTGGTGGTGATGAAAACCCTCATTCAGAATTCAGCAGTGCTGAATTCAGTGAAAGGTCTGAACCCACCCCTTCTACCCCCTGACAAAGGAAAGAGAAATCTATAATATGGTGGCTGATATGAACAGAGCTGATTTTCCTTGTGACAAGCCAGCCAAGGGCCTCCAAACCAGCACAGTGAAATCTCAAACTACAGTAATTCCCTTTCTGCCTTTTATGGACCTTCCAGTTTTATATAAGCTGCCTTTTTAATGCAGCCAATCCATAGGAAAAAAAAATCTGCATGAGGAATGTGTGTTATTATTCATGTAGCTGCTTCTGCTGTGTTTCAGCATAAAGATTAGTCAAGCTTTATGCAAGTATTGTGTATCATCTTCATTTCAATTTCCACATTGCATCTGTGTTGCTTCCACTTGGCTCAGTGCAGAAGCAGGGCACGAAATGCAGCAGTACAAATATATTTATTTATGTGCAACAGTAAAATGTTAGGGAGCAACCAGCTACAAAATAATAATGGTATAAGAGTATTATGTGACCATATAAGTCAGGCTTATATTGCTTGTAAGTTACTTACATGTTTTAAACCAATCAGGATTTGGTATCTGTTGGTTCACTATTTTTTACTTTTTTTTTTACTTTTTTTTTTTTCAAACAAACAGAAAGCACTTAATTAACAACACAAAGCTCATAAGCAAAACAGCATGACTAGGAGAAAAAATAAAGTCAGGATAATTACAGCAATATTGGGCAGAAATTAACTTCAGTTTTTCCCTGCTGTGTTGCTGGCTATGAAGCCTGTATGAGTAAGGTAAAATAAATTTAAAACCCCTCTAAAACGTACACCTATGCATGAAGTATTTAAGGTGAGCTTACATTATAAATTAAAACCTCACAAAGCCTTACACTGAAATATGAATTCATTTCCTGTGCAAGGACTTTGAGTCACGACGTTTTTATCTGTTGGGATTATTTTTACTTATTTTTCCTCTCCACCATTCAGTGAAGCAAGTCATTAGCATTAAATTACTGTAATGAACAGACACCAGATTTGCTGCAGGTAGTTTATAAAAGGATCACACCTCAAGCCAGAAGGAAAAGAAATGGTTCCTCAGCCAGGAAAACTTCCATAAATCAAAGTTTGGAGGAACTACAGCTGTCCATAGAGCGTGTTAGGGCTGGGAGCAGATAATTAAGGTGTGTCTGTCCTCCTTCCTTTCTTGACCCAAAAAGAGCAGATTAAAAGGGCAAGGTGACAGAGACATTTTTGTACCTAGTTATCTCTGGCTGTGAAAATAATCCCCCTAAGACCAACTCACACAGGGAGAATTGGAAGCAGCCGTGTAGATTTCCAGTAGAAGTATGCCTGAGTTAAAAAAGGTATTAAAATTTTTTTAAAAGTAATAAACTCCCCAGCACAGACTTAAAACCATAAACTCTCTAAGATGCATTGTTTGGATCTATTTATTCCTAATGGAGGGAAATGCAGAAACCAAACCAGAATGCTCTTTTTCCTTTAAAGAGAAATTAGGTAGCTGTTTTATGTTCCCTGCAGCAAGGATTTGCTACAATGCACAAATCTTTCTTATAGTACTGGCAGCAGGAGTGCAAACAACAGCAGCCCACTCTCCGTAAAAAA